AGAATTCCTTTGAAACCGCAGATTGACATCACCCACGTCATGTAATAGTTAGAGGTGCATCGATAGATCAGCAGCTCTTGCATTACGTCATCGTCATTACCTTCAACCTGTAAAGGAGAACAAAGTAATGACATAGTAGTATATAACAAGCAAGATGGATCAAGATGGATCAAATCGTGCCCTATGATTGGCTGGTCGAGAGGCTGGATGAGGCTACGTGTATCTTGACCGCTCGGGATCACCCTCTGTATCCCGCAAGAGAGCGAAAAGGCAATCACTTTGGTTTTGGTTTTACTACGGTTTTTGATTGGCTGAATAGTTTGTTTGTCTCTTCGTTTTCTCTCTTTCTCGCCATTTATAAATATATCTAATGAGTATATGTTCAGAAGAGTCTTACTTGTAAGTAATTGGTTTGGTTTTGGTTTTTCGACACTAAATTGAGAACCGCTCTATACCTTATAGTAAAACCTTAATAGCCAATTTCCTCTGTGAGACACGCCTGCAGGGAATCATGGTAGTTGTATTCATCAAAACAAATTTCCAGTCCAAGATAATGAACACAGCTACAGTAGAACCCCGTTAATCCGTTCACCAACAGGCCACAAAAATCTGGCTTTTTATTCACGGTTAAAGAAGTTCTTTAAATAAGGCCTGCGTTCAGCCAATGACAATGAAGTAATTTTCTCAGTCATATAATAAACTAAAAACCTCATGCGAGGAGATTGTCATGTTTATTTACCTCTTCATCGATCATCTGAAGATGGATCGTTAATGGATCAATGGCTGCCCAAGTTGACAAAATGATGACATCTATAAACCAACCACCACATAGCCTCAAAAGGAGACTTACGTTACTCAGCTTGCCAAGCTGTAAAGAATAGAAAATATCGCCCATTAAGATGTGACTTAAGCCTGCTGGAGGAGGGAGGACAACTGTGCGCGAAAATGAAGGAAAATTTCTGCCTACATTATGTTCTTAGCTCACCTCTCTTTTCATCTGGTTATTTGTGAATATTTTGTATACTCTCCAGGTTTTGACGAAAATGCCACCAAATGCCAAAGTGAAACCAGTCGAGAGAAGCCAGGCCTTAATCTAAAGATTACAAAGAGTGAATGTTCTGTGAGAGAATTTTTAAGGAAAAATCCATGGAAATACAAAAAAAATCGAGGGTAATAGATTTAACGGGATATTAATAAAATTTAGAAACTTTCTCTGGCCAAAAAAATATTGTAAGAACAGAAGCTTTCGACGACCTTAACTGCAGTTTTCATCAAGTGAAATGATATACTGGGGACACTGTTTATCGACTATTCCTCAAAAACGCGAAGGTGTTCAATGAAAACCCTGATATACAACGGAGAAATGTTCGTGTACAAAAACATCAACTATATGCTAACTGTTCTTACATAGCAAACAGATGGATCGTGCTGCGTTGAGGCAGAGCTGCCGTACGCTGATAAAAACACTTCCATATAACAAAGCAGACATCCCACCACAGTTATGTTGTTGAACTTTGGAGACGACATTTTTATAAACCTGAATACAGAAGGAAATAACCATAAGAAGTCACTGGCTGGAATATAAGATACGACGCCAGAAAACACTAATTATTAGC